GAGGCTGGGACCCCATGCAAGTCCAGCCTCTTGGCAGGATCTGTGGCCACATGGAGAGAGGAGCCCAGACTGGAGCAGGCTGTTCCTGAAGGACTGCACCTCGTGGGAGGGACCAAGGCTGGAACAGTTCATGGAGAACTGTCTCCCATGGGAGGGACCCCACGCTGGAGCAGGGGCGGAGTGTGAGGAGTGACCCCTCACCCTGAGGAGGAGGCAGCGGCAGAGACAGCGTGTGATGGACTGACCACAGCTCCCATTGCCTGTCCCCCTGCGCTGCTGGAGGGGAGGAGGTAGAGAAATTGGGAGCAAAGCTGACCCTGGGACAAAGGGAGGGGTGGGAAGAAGGTGCTTTAAGATTTGAATCTTTTACTCTGGTTTGATTGGTGATTAAATTTTCCCCAAGTCAAGTCTCTGTTCCCCATGAAGGTAATGGGTAAGTGATCCCTCCCTGTCCTTATGTTGATCCAGGAGCCTTTCCTTATGTTTTCTCTCCCCTGCCCAGCTGAGGAGGGCAGCGACAGAGCAGCTTTAGTGAGCACCGGGCCTCCAGCCGGGCTCAGCCCACCGCAGCCACATCCTTCACGCAACCAAAAGTCTCCCTCATGAAAGCTTTCTCCCTGCTTATTCTTGCCTCAAGACCACTGTGTGTTGTTTAGTTCAAAAGCATTTCCCTGCAGAAGCATACCGCTTCCTCGCTGTTTTTTGTTCTAATGCAAAGCTCACAAGCAGGGCACCAGGAATCTGGCATAGTGTGGTTTTATAACAGTGTTTAATACAGTACCTGTGTTCTGTTTGAACATGCTTGAACACTTGCTTTTAATACTTTCATTCTCTTGATGTCTTTATTGTTTACTTTACTCTCATACGTTCAACTCGGTTTGCCTTTCTTTTTTTGCTCTTCTCTCCTGTTCTTGACTTTCCTCATTCTCGGAGCAGCAAGTAAGATGTGCCATTCAGGTGGTGCAGTTAATTTTGCTCCTTTTATGGCACGTGCATCAGGCTAGGTTCAACATAAAATTAAAATAGTGTTCATTTTTTGGCCAGTAGTTTGTTACAGATAAGTTTGCAAAGAATCCCTTGAGGATATATTCAGTGATGCTGCCAGTTCTTATGTGGCCCAAGATTATTTTTTGTAGAAGGTGAGATTTAATGGCAGAGGAGGTAGTAGGAATGAACTGGACAAGAAAAGATCTATAAACAAAATAAAGAAATAAACAGAATACAGTTGCACCCAGCCCATGAACCTGAATGTTTCCTGTGGATTGGAGGACTCAAGTCCAAGTAAAATAGCACTGGGGGCTTTTTTATTCTTTGCTTTTATGACTGGAGTTCAAAGTGAAATTGTAGACATCTTTACTTTGCAACATGGAATGAACTGGACAAGAAAAGATCTATAAACAAAATAAAGAAATAAACAGAATACAGTTGCACCCAGCCCATGAACCTGAATGTTTCCTGTGGATTGGAGGACTCAAGTCCAAGTAAAATAGCACTGGGGGCTTTTTTATTCTTTGCTTTTATGACTGGAGTTCAAAGTGAAATTGTAGACATCTTTACTTTGCAACATTTATCCTTGCCATGGTGATAATGAGTTCCCATTAGGACAACAGTGGCAGGAGATTATCTTAATTAAGGAATGATCTTCTTACATGCTGTGGTTATTTAGATGACCGTTTATATTGAAAAAGACTCCCTTCAAGTGACCGGCCTCCAGGAAGTGTCCAGCCTAGCCTAGTCCTGCTGTGCTGCTAACCACATTTTACACTCAGTTCTGAGTCAATATGTAGGCACGGACGTGGCTAATCCAGGCCATGACCACTCTTATGGGAAAAGTTAATATAAAATAAATCACATTGCACCTGAACTGGCTGTTCAGGTTACCCTC